GGCAAATCTGGACATCGGCTGCTCTCTACAGGCTGCTGCTCCGGTGTTCTCTGGCGAAGCTGTGCGCAGGTTACACGACTACAGCGGCGGACCCTCAACCCGGCGGTGGTGGCTCCTTAACCCGGCGGCGGCCGATCCTCAACGCGGCCTGACTGCACGCGAACGGCGCCGATTCTCCTCGAACCAGCGACGTCGACTGAGGACGGCGACGATTCAGGATCTGCTATCGATGGCGGCGGCGACTCCTCCAAGCGGCGGCGGCTCCTTCTGCCGCTACTCCTGTGTGCGACGGTCTATAGCAAACCGCGGCAGAGATCTGGGAGCTCGACGGCGGAAACACACAGCAGCGACGTCAGCGATCTTCCTCGCCCCGGTTCAAGACCCAGCGGCGAACTCGACGGCGACTGGGTTAGCGACGATTCTCAGCGGCTTCCCCTGTGCTGCCTCTGCCCTCCGGCGACTGTGCACAGATCCAAGAACTCTGGGTGACAACTAGCAATTTGTGTTCGTGTTGAACAAACTAGGCTCCGATACCACTTGTTGGGAATTAAACACACAACACACACAGATATCTGCGAGAATCAAGAGAGAAATGGAACACAAACGACACACAAGAATTTAACGTGGTTCGGTTTCCCTAATCCACGGCTGCAACAGGAGGATTTTCTTATTTCACTTGTGGTGTCGATTACAAGTACAAGTATGCAATATATATAGGAAGAGCGCAACTAGGGTTACAACAAACGGGCCGGGCCTACAAATTAAGCCCAAGCCTCCACAAACCCAACACGATGATGGCGATAATAATGGAAAGCTCAAAATTGCCGGATGTTGCAAGCACTACACTGCTTATGATCTGGATAATTGGAATGGAATCTCCCGATATACTTTCAATGCTGTGGTAAGTGTACATTCTTGTTTATGATCGAGTTTGAAAAAAAAAAAAAAGTTCTTGGGTGTATATAATATTCTTAGCTTCCTCCTGATATGATATATGAGGTGACTAAACAAGACATGGAGGATACATTCCAGCCTCCCTTTGAGAGCTGCGTTCGGGACGCAAAGGCTGCAAGTGTGATGTGCTCTTACAACCAAGTCAACGGGAAGCCAATTTGTGGCGATCCCGATTTGTTAGCTGGAGTGGTCAGAGGAAAATGGAACCTGAATGGGTGATTTAACTACTCACTTGTCAAAGTTGCTTGATTCCAATTGCTTGGTTTTCTATGTTGTGACAGTTTTCTTATATTGTGGCGATTTCCTAGATACATTGTGACCGACTGTGATTCGCTTTACAAGATTTTCAACGATCAGCACTACACAAAAACGCCAGAAGAGACTGTTGCTCTAGGCTTGAAAGCAGGTTAGGTTTGTTTAGTTCCCCCATCTTGTTGTTTAATTATTAGTTGAAGATGAATGGGGGAATGCCTATTTGTTTTTTTATATAAATAATGTTATGCAGGGGTAGACATCAATTGTGATTTTTTTTGGCTAACCACACTCAAGCTGCAATCGACAAAGGACTTGTGAATGAAACCGACGTTGATAGAGCTTTGACAAATGGTTTTTCCACTCTGATGCGACTCGGTTTCTTTGATGGAAATCCAAAGAAGCAATTCTATGGGAATCTTAGGCCTAAAGATGTTTGTTCTCAGAACAATCAGGACCTCGCCGAGGAAGCTGCAAGGCAGGGCATAGTCTTGCTAAAAAATTCTCCCGGTTCACTCCCTCTCCTTGCCACCTCAATAAAATCTTTAGGAGTGATTGGACCAAATGCCAATGCAACTAAATCCATGTTGGGAGATTATGCAGGTCACACTTTTTATACCTTGTCCTATCTTTGAAAACAAATCCTAAAAAAGAGATCCAATATAATGACCATGTTTTTCATAAAATGTAACACAATTGCCTATCAAAAATTGTTTAGGCATCCCATGTAGGTACACATCTCCTTTACAAGGGTTAACCAGGTTTGTGCCAACTGTGTATACTCCGGGATGCAAAGACGTATACTGTGAGACTCCAAGCATTAACGAGGCCAAGAAAATCACCTCAAGCGTGGACGCCGTTGTCTTGATAATGGGCTCTGACTTTTTGATCGAGAATGAAGGCCTCGATAGGATCAATATCACTCTTCCGGGGAAGCAGTCTACTTTAGTATCAGAAGTTTCAAAGGTTTCAAAAGGACCTGTCATCCTTGTCATATTGTCTGGAGGTGGAATGGATGTGTCCTTCGCCATCGATAATCCAGCCATAACCAGCATCCTCTGGGCTGGGTTCCCAGGTGAATCCGGTGGTATTGCCATTGCTGAAGTCATTTTCGGGTCACATAATCCGAGTATGTGAGACAAGTCATTTTACCTTCTCCTTCGTAGATTCTTTATCCTAATAATGAAATAAACTATTCGAATTCTTGAAACTACTAGCTTAAACTTTAGATCGAGTTGGTTTCTTGACATAACTAGATTCACTTATTTCTTTCTTTTTTTGTTCTTTTGTTTAAGGTGGGAAGCTACCAGTGACATGGTATCCACAGTCCTACGTAGAGGGCGTGCCAATGACGGATATGCGCATGAGACCCGATCCTATGTCTAGGTATCCCGGCAGGCCCGGCAGGACATACAGGTTCTACAAAGGACCAACTGTCTTCGATTTCGGACATGGTCTAAGCTACACCAACTTCACACACACCATTGTTTTCGGACCACCTGTAACCATTCATTTGTGCCCCAAAGAGAATCACAGCTGCAATGCCTTTGAGTGCGACCCCATTGCGGTTCACGACTCTTCGTTCTATTTGCACGTGAAGATAAAGAATGCCGGAGAACGAGGTGGGTGTGACACAATCTTCTTGTACTCCTCACCCCCTCCCATACATAATGCACCGCAGAAGCAATTGTTAGACTTTGAGAAGGCATGTCTCCTGCCCAACGAACAAGTGTTGATGAAGTTTATCGTGCACATCAAAGATTTGAGTGTGGTTAATGAAAAAGGAGACAAGAAAATTGTTTTGGGACAATATGCCATTCATTTGGGAGAAACAACACAAACCTTAGTCGTGAAAGTATGACTCGAGTTTTAATCCTGGCATACAACTACGCTAGGAGGTAATTATGCTAAGCATAAGACCTCTGCAACTACCAGGTGCAGGCTCCAATCTTTGTCATCAATTTACCTCCTCTCAGAAACTGCCTGACCGGGTCTCAGGAACTTTGGGAATTGGGGTTCATTCTTCATTTTTTTTAAAAGAATGATTTGATGTATAATTCATATGTACTCCGACAAGTATTTGTCAAATCAAGTGAAGATATCGATAGCATCAGGCCATAGTATCACAACCATATTTTATGCTCCACTTGGTTTTAGAACATACCCTGTAGTATATTGTGACAAGTGGATCTCTTTGTCTCCGTTCTCATTTCTCATCTGTCACTTTTAAATAAGGAGTATGTAAATAATTGGAGAAGCAAATACTCATATGTTGGATGAAAGTGATGTTTGATTTTTACTATGACAATTTTTATTATTAATGTAGTAAATAATTGAACATATATAAATATGATGAATATTGCAAAAATAAGAATAAATACACACTGTATTTAGTTGTATGTTTTATTTAATCAAAAAAGGAGTATAAGTTTTATTTGATTAATGATTAATATTTATTAATTTTGATTAGAAAAAGTCAAAACTAGACAAATATTTTAGGACGAAAGTTGTAAACCTTTTTTGTAGTTTTTGTTAAAATATAATCGATCATATCATGTACAAGTTTCACACCAATACTCCTAAATTTATTTTTCACATCAACACTCTATTCGAGATGAGTCAACTTTGAACTTAATTGTGTGAAATCATTTTGGCAGATATATATGACATATGAAATAATTAATTGATATATTTCATTAGTTTTGTATAGTTTTTGTTACTTTTCTCATTTTTGATGTTTTTTATATCTATTTTTTCTAAAGTAATTAGACTAATCTTTAAAAAAAGAAAAAGAAATGATGGCGCTAGAAAGTCATTTTAAAAATTTAACTGAAAATTTAAAAAAAAATGCTTTAAAAAAATAGTCCCAACTTTCATTTTGTTCCGCTAAACAATCTGTTTCCGTTAATCTGATAGAATTTAGGATGAGTATGGACAACTGGATTGGGAAATAAGACACTTAGGCTGAACCACATTAAAAGATTGAATCCAATCGATTAGTTAGTTCAACTCTAGAGCTTATATACTGATTATTTTACTCTTAAACTTCCAATGTGAGATGCACTCTAACGCTCCCCCTCAAGTGGACAACCGGGTCATTTTGAATCCAACTGGTTGACCACTTCCAAATGAACTCCCATTCCCTTGACTGTTTTTTAAGCACCAACACCTAAAGAACCACGAGTCGCTGGGTATGGACTTTCAAGCGAGCAATCGTGTTAAATGGGCCATAGGCCGTTGGGTACATACTCCATACGGACAACTGAGCTAATGACTAACGAGCCGCTAGAAATGAACACTAGACGGACAACTTGACAAACGAGGTGGACCAAAACCTGCTCTAATACCATGGTATGTATATTGAAATCAAGTCACGTCCGACCATTAAAGAAGAATATTAAAAAAAGGACAAGTCCCATCCCGAGGGTCACTTCAGACTCGGCCGAACGGTCATTGAACAAAAATAAATTAAATTTTAATTAGCCACATATTGGTTGTAGAAAATGAAGCATGTACCTAGTACTTGTTGCAAAGACCCTATGCTAATTAGAATAGAAGGTTATTGATTAAATTAGTGAGAGCACTACTTCAAATGATAGCTATAGAAAAGTTTCTACAAAAAATATATAATACAGAGTAATTTTTAGATGACATATTGACATGACTAATTAATTACTTATGCACTAATTGCTTACACTAGTTTGTTTGGTCTAATTTGGACTTACATATGAGTAAAATAAGCATTTCATTACTACCTAAATAAGCATATATTTTTTAATAAAAATATTTAAAAAATTATAAGAGAAAGTCTACAAAGATGGTATGCACCTACAAAGCGGTGCTCTCATTAATACTCCATCCGTCCATTAACTTGTATCTCACTTTCCTTTTTGGGTCGTTTAAAAGTTTGTTTCCTGTTTCTTATTTTTGCAAAGAGCTTTTAATGAATATGCCACTATACCCCAATTTTATTTACACTATTTACTTTATTTTATCAGATCAAGGGCAACACATGAGAAATCTTTGCACTTTAATTTTTCATAATTTCTGTACCAATTCAAATCGGGAAAGAAATTTTTGGACGGATGGAATTGTTATGGATCCGGAACAACGGGTAGAGACCCAGGTCTGGCGAAGTGGTCGGGCCAGACGACCACCCGGATGGCAGCATGAATTCATTAAGCATTAATTATTTTGATTATCTTATTTTATTTCTAAATGTATAGTAGATTTTTACTAGGTGAGCGATCTATAAGCTTCTTCGAGGATTTCTTTACGGTTCTTTACCTCGTCGCTTTTCTTGAACCGTCAGAATAGAAAACGTAGTTTACTAGGAAGGGGATTCTTTCAAACCTATAAATAGAGGTGTATTCCTCCATGATAATTAAGCAATAAGACCCTAATTTTCCCCTACCTTAGCCGCACGGCTTTCCTCTCCCTTCCCCAACTCTCGTCTCTCTCCCTCTACTTCTTTTATTCCCTTCTTCTTGGAGTTTGGGAGCACTCGAAGTTTCCCTCATCGATACCATTCGTATCATTGGCGCTTTCATTATGTCTTCGGAAGTTATCACCTCTGCCGATTTCTGGGATTTCCAACAACAAATTGATCGACAACTTTTGGCTCATACCACCACCATGCAAACCCTAAAGCATATCATGGAACAACTGCAGCATAACTTTGGAGAATTATTTAGTCGTCTTGAGAAAACCCCAGCCGCGGGTTTCACGCTGCCGCGCACGGGAGGAGGCAGTGGGTCTGACCCGGTCCCTCTTATGTCCAAATTGAAGCTGGAGATGCCCAAAACCGACGGCACGGATCCTCTCGGATGGCTCTTCAAGGCGCATGAATATTTCGTCTTCTATGGCGTCACGGAGGACGCACGCCTACCTGTCGTCTCCCTTATGCTCGAAGGTCCAGCCTTGGATTGGTTTCGTTGGCGTCAACGGAACGCTCTTGTGTCTTCGTGGTCGGATTTTCTTTCCCAATTCAAGCTCCGCTTCAACCCCTTAAGTTATGTGGACTATTTCGGGCTGCTTTCGAAGGTCCACCAAACCGGCTCCGTTCTAGAGTACCAACAGGCATTCAAAAAAATACTCGTCAACGTCACCAGGGTCGCCGAACCGAATCTTCAGTCTCTCTTCCATGCAGGTTTGAAATCTCATCTACAACATGAAATTATGCTCCTCAAACCCAGTTCCTTGTCCGCTTCTTTTGCTCTTGCCCGGGAACTTGAAGTTAAATACACGGCTTGGACGTCGGCTATGCCACCACGGCGGGAGGGCTTCCGTGACCAGGCGGGCTATAAGACCCAAACCCCTCCTCCCAACATGCCTCTGTTGCCGTCACCAGGTACTAAGCCTCCACTAGCTACCAAGCCCACGACCGGTCTTCCTGTCCGGCGTCTCTCATATGCCGAATGCAAGGAACGGGACGCTAAGGGTCTCTGTTATAATTGTGACGAAAAATGGGTGAAAGGACACAACTGCGGGCGTTTCTTATTATTGTTTGAGGATGAAGACGACGACGATAATAGCGCTCCTCTCGACAACACAGTCCTCACAGCTTCCCTCCATAGCCTAATGATAGCCCCACGGTCCTTGCGGGTGTCCGACATTGGGTCTCTCTAAGTATCAGGTGCATGCTCTACTTTCTGCCACGAATATGCTTTTAATTAAAGTCCAATTTACCCCATCTCAGTGACCGTTCGTTCGAATCCGAGGAGACCCTCCGAGTCCGAGGGGACCCTCAATATATGATGGTGCTCATATTTTTTTTAATAATCTCCTTTTGTGTCCTTTAATATTTTTTTAATAATCTCCTTTGTTGGACAGTATAAATAACCATCGTTCTCATACTTATACCCTCACTAGCTACTCTCCTTCAACTAATTAAGCAGTCCATATATCAAGCTAGTTGTTGCGAAAAGAAAAACATGGCTTCTTCATACTTACTTTGTTTAAGTTTTTTACTTTTATCAAATCTTCAATGGCTTTCATGCACAGTGGCGACTCTGCTTGTTCATTCTGCCACCTTGCGCACATGTTTGGCCAGAAAATTCAAAAATGACAGTGGATTTTCAAAAGAATATTTCACGCAAGAGAACTCTTCTTATGTACCAATTCTAGAAGAATTGGCACAAAACAAAAGGTTCCTGAACGCTGGGTTTCCAAAGCCGTGGGCCATAATCACGCCTAAAGACAAGTATGAGGTGCAAGCCATAATACTTTGCGCAAAGCGTCATGGAATCCAAATTCGAATTCGGAGCGGAGGGCACGTTTATGAAGGTTTGTCCTACACATAGAGGAGGGTAAAAAGTGGTAATGATTTCCTTCTTTTGGACCTGAAGTTGATGAGAAAAGTAAGTGTAGATGTGGAGGAGAAGAGTTTGTGGGTTGAGTATGGAGCAACAATAGGAGAATTGTACTTTGCGATCGCAAAGTCCAGGCGAACCCTTGGATTCCCAGTCGGTGTTTCCCCCATGTTGGAATTGGCGGGCTACTGAGCGGGGGTGGATACGGGGTGATTCTAAGGAAGTATGGTTTGGCGGCAGACAAGATTGTTGACGCCCGTTTGGTGGACGCGAACGAAAGAATCCTTAACCGCAAGTCGATGCATGAGAGAGGATTACTTCTGGGCAATCCGAGGGGGAGGAGGGAATAGCTTTGGGGTTGTGTTTGAATGGAAGGTAGCGTTGGTAGAGGTGCCTGAAATTGTTACGGTCTTTGATATAACCCACTCAAACAAGATCGATTTGGTGGGGAAGTGGCAATCTCTGGCTCCGAAGCTGCCACGTGAACTGGTAATCTGGATCAACATGGTTGCAGGGGACAACAACGGAACTGCTGTGTCGAACTCATTCAAGGGTCTCTGCCTGGGGAGAGGTGACAAGGTGTTTGCAATCATACAAGAGGAGTTCCCGGAGCTGGAGCTGGAGAGGAAGAACTCTATCGAAATGAGTTGGATTGAATTGGTGGTGCACTTTGCGGGATTCCCCATCGGGACACCTCTTGATCACGCCTTGCTCACAAGCGTTATTACAGACAGTAGTACTCCATATGCATTATGCATCTCAAGCTAAGAAGCAACATGCGGTACACTATATATAAAACCACCTACTCCACATATAGATACCATACTTACTCTGAAATCCCGCTCTCACAATCTGGAAGCAGTTCCTCACTCTTCGGTCTTTCCATAACCATTTCTTTCCAAATCCCCAAGGGAAGCATACATAAACTAGAGGGATTTACACATCGGGGAGAATCTTGTGGATGTTAGTGGCGGCGGTGGAAAGGCGGCAGCGGCAGCAAGGTATTCGGCAGCAAGGTATTGCCACTTAACCACCACATCGATCTTGTTTGAGTGGGTTATATCAAAGACCGTAACAATTTAGGCACCTCTACCAACGCTACCTTCCATTCTAACACAACCCCAAAGCTATTCATTCCTCCCCCTCGGATTGCCCAGAATTAAGCCTCTCCCATCGACTTGTGGTCGAGGATTCTTCCGTTGGGGTCCACCAAACAGGTGTCAACAATCTTGTCTACCCCCAAACCATACTTCCTTAACATCACCCCGTACCCACCCCCGCTCAGTAGCTTGCCAATTCCAACATGGGGGAAACACCAGCTGGGAATCCAAGGGTTCGGATAGACTTTGCTATCGCAAAGTACAATTCTCCTATTGTTGCTCCATACTCAACCCACACACTCTTCTCCTTCACATCTACACTTACTTTTCTCATCAACTTCAGGTCCAAAAGAAGGAAATCATTACCACTTTTTACCCTCCTCTCTGTGTAGGGCAAACCTTCATAATCGTGCCCTCTGCTCCGAATTCGAATTTGGATTCCATGACGCTTTGCACAGAGTATTATGGCTTGCACCTCATACTCATCTTTAGGCGTGATTATGGCCCACGACTTCGGAAACCCAGCGTTCAGGAACCTCCTGTTGTGTGCCAATTCTTCTAGAATTGGTACATTAGAAGAGTTCTCCTGCGTGAAATATTCTTTTGAAAATCCACTGTCATTTTTGAATTTTTTGGCCAAACATGTGCGCAAGGTGGCAGAATGAACAAGCAGAGACGCCACTGTGCATGAAAGCCATTGAAGATTTGATAAAAGTAAAAAACTTAAACAAAATAAGTATGAAAAAGCCATGTTTTTCTCTTCACAACAACTAGCTTGATATATGGACTTCTTAATTAGTTGAAGGAGAGTAGCTACTGAGGGTATAAGTATGAGAACGATGGTTATTTATACTGTCCAACAAAGGAGATTATTAAAAAAATATTAAAGGAGATTATTAGAGGAGACAAAAGGAGATTATTAAAAAAACATGAGCACCATCATATATTGAGGGTCCCCTCGGACTCGGAGGGTCTCCTCGGATTCGAACGAACGATCACTAAGATGGGGTAAATTGGACTTTAAACGCATATTCCTGGTAGAAAGTAGAACATGCATTTGATACTTGTAGAGACCCAATGCTAATTAGAATAGGGAGGTTATTGATTATATTTCATCCGTCCAAAAATTTCTTTCTCGATTTGACTTGGCACATGGATTAAGAAAAATTAAAGTGTAAATATTTCTTATGTATTGCCCTTGATGTTGCAGAGGCTTTATGCTTAGCATATTTACCTCCTAGCGTAGTTGCATGCCAGGATTTGAACTCGAGTCATACTTTCACGACTAAGGTTTATGTTGTTTCTCCCAAGTGAATGGCATATTGTCCCAAAACAATTTTTTGTCTCTTTTTTCATTAACCACACTCAAATCTTTAATGTGCGCGATAAACTTTATCAACACTTGTTCGTTGGGCAGGAGACATGCCTTCTCAAAGTCTAACAATTGCTTCTGTGGTGCATTATGTATGGGAGGGGGTGAGGAGTACAAGAAGATTGTGTCACACCCACCTCGTTCTCCAGCATTCTTTATCTTCACGTGCAAATAGAACGAAGAGTCGTGAACCGCAATGGGGTCGCACTCAAAGGCATTGCAGCTGTGATTCTCTTTGGGGCACAAATGAATGGTTACAGGTGGTCCGAAAACAATGGTGTGTGTGAAGTTGGTGTAGCTTAGACCATGTCCGAAATCGAAGACAGTTGGTCCTTTGTAGAATCCGTATGTCCTGCCAGGATACCCAGACTTAGGATCGGGTCTCATGCGCATATTCGTCATTGGCAAGCCCTCTACGTAGGACTGTGGATACCATGTCACTGGTAGCTTCCCACCTTAAACAAAAGAACAAAAAAAAATAAGAGAGTCTAGTTATGTCAAGGAACCAACTCAATCTAAAGTTTAAGATAGTAGTTTCAAGAATTCGAATAGTTTATTTCATTATTAGGATAAAGAAACTGCGAAGGAGAAGGTAAAATAACTTTTCTCGCGTACTCGAATTATGTGACCCAAAAATGACATCGGCAATGTCAGTATCATCGGCTTCACCTGGGAACCCAGCCCAGAGGGTGCTGGTTATGGTTGGGTTATCGATGGCAAAGGACACATCCATTCCACCCCAGACAATATGACAAGGATGACAGGTGCTTTGGAAACCTTTGAAACTTCTAATACTATAGCATACTGCTTCCCCGGAAGAGTGATATTGATCCTATCTAGGCCTTCATTCTCGATCAAAAAGTCAGAGCCCATTATCAAGACAACGACGTCTACGCTTGAGGCGAATTTCTTGGCCTCGTTAATGCTTGGAGTCACACAGTATACGTCTTTGCATCCCCGAGTATACACAGTTGGCACAAAACATGGTCATTATATTGGATCTCTTTTTTAGGATTTGTTTTCAAAGATAGGACAGGGTATAAAAAGGGTGACTGCATAATCTCCCAACATGGATTTAGTTTCATTGGCATTTGGTCCAATCACTCCTAAAGATTTTATTGAGGTGGAAAGGAGAGGGAGTTAACCGGGAGAATTCTTTAGCAAGACTACGCCTTGCGTTGCAACTTCCTCGGCGAGATCCTGATTGTCCTTAAAACAAACATCTTTAGGCCCAAGATTCCCATAGAATTGTTTCTTTGGATTTCCATCAAAGAAACCGAGTCGCATCAGAGTGGAAAAACTATTTGCCAAAGCTCTATCAACGTCGGTGTCATTCACAAGTCCTTTGTCCATTGCAGCACGAGTGTGGTTAGCCAAAAAAAGATGCACAATTGATGTCTACCCCTGCATTTCATGTTTGAGCAACGCATAATCTTGGATTGGCAGGTCTAACATTTTTCACACCAAACCTTAACATATTCAGAGACCTAAGGTGGGGGAGGGGCCAGGAAACTTCGGGGGAAGATCCCCTGCTTTCCAGCAAGTACGCCGTTGCATATGTCAAAGGACTTCAACAGCACGATGATGGCGATAATAATGGAAAGCTCAAAATTGCCGGATATTGCAAGCACTACACTGCTTATGATCTGGATAATTGGAATGGAATCTCCCGATATACTTTCAATGTTGTGGTAAGTGTACATTCTTGTTTATGATCAAATTTGAAAAAAAAATCTTGGGTGTATATAATATTCTTAGCTTCCTCCTTTTGATATGATATATTAGGTGACTAAACAAGACATGGAGGATACATTCCAACCTCCCTTTGAGAGCTGCGCTTCGAGACGCAAAGGCTGTAAGTGTGATGTGCTCTTAAACCCAAGTCAACGGGAAGCCAATTTGTGGCGATCCCGATTTGTTAGCTGGAGTGGTCAGAGGAAAATGGAACCTGAATGGGTGATTTAACTACTCACTTGTCAAAGTTGCTTGATTCTAATTGCTTGGTTTTCTATGTTGTGACAATTTTGTTATATTGTGGCGATTTCCTAGATACATTGTGACCGATTGTGATTCGCTTTACAAGATTTTCAACGATCAGCACTACACGAAAATGCCAGAAGAGACTGTTGCTCTAGGCTTGAAAGGAGGCTAGGTTTGTTTAGTCCCCCCATCTTGTTTAATTATTAGTTGAAGATAAATGGGGGAATGCCAAATGGAACTATTTGTTTGTTTATTTAAATAATGTTATGCAGGGGTAGACATCAATTATGCATTTTTTTGGCTAACCACACTCAAGCTGCAATCGACAAAGGACTTGTGAATGAAACCAACGTTGATAGAGCTTTGGCAAATGGTCTTTCCACTCTGATGCGACTCGGTTTCTTTGATGGAAATCCAAAGAAGCAATTATATGGGAATCTTGGGCCTAAAGATATTTGTTCTCAGGACAATCAGGACCTCACCGAGGAAGCTGCAAGGCAGGGCATAGTCTTGCTAAAGAATTCTCCCGGTTCACTCCCTCTCCTTGCCACCTCAATAAAATCTTTAGGAGTGATTGGACCAAATGCCAATGCAACTAAATCCATGTTGGGAGATTATGCAGGTCACGCTTTTTATACCCTGTCCTATCTTTGAAAATAAATCCTAAAAAAGAGATCCAATATAATGACCATGTTTTTCATAGAATGCAACACAATTCCCTATAAAAAAACTGTTTAGGCATCCCATGTAGGTACACTTCTCCTTTACAAGGGCTAACTAGGTTTGTGCCAACTGTGCACACTCGGGGATGCAAAGACGTATAGTGTGAGAGTTTAAGCATTAACGAGGTCAAGAAAATTGCCTGAGGCGTAGACGCCGTTAGCAGGGGTGGGTACGTGGTGATGCTAAGGAAGTATGGTTTGGCGGCAGACAAGATTGTTGACGCTTGTTTGGTGGACCCAAACGAAAGAATACTCGACCGCAAGTCGATGGGAGAGGATTACTTCTGGGCAATCCGAGGGGGAGGAGGGAATAGCTTTGGGGTTGTGTTAGAATGGAAGGTAGCGTTGGTAGAGGTGCCTGAAATTGTTACGGTCTTTGATATAACCCACTCAAACAAGATCGATTTGGTGGTGAAGTGGCAATCTCTGGCTCCCAAGTTGCCCCGTGAACCGGTAATCAGGATCAACATGGGTGCAGGGGACAACAACGGAACTGCTGTGTCGACCTCATTCAAGGGTCTCTCTGCCTGGGGAGAGGTGACAAGGTGTTTGCAATCATGCAAGAGGAGTTCCCAGATCTAGAGCTAGAGCTGGAGCTGGAGAGGAAGAACTGTATTGAAATGAGTTCGATTTAATGGGTGGTGCACTTTGCGGGATTCCCCATAGGGACACCTCTTGATCACGCCTTGCTCCCAAGCGTTATTACAGACAGAAGTACTCCATATGCATTATGCATCTCAAGCTAAGAAGCAGCAGGCGGTACACAATATATAAAACCACCTACTCCAATATAGATTATACTTACTCTATGATCCCTGTACTTGTCTGCAAACATCAATCTCATGGTGCAAAGAGGCAAGCATTTTGCTAGTGGAGAAAGCAGAGCCGTAAAGGGAATCAATCCATGGTGATGTCGGCTTCCTAAATCCAAGCGTCCCACCAATTCTCTCCTCCCCTGAATTTCATAACCCATCCAAAAACAAACCCACAAAACATAAATCAAATTGAAGTGCAAGATTATTATTATTATTATTATCATTATGATCAAACACACACACCAACAGAGAGGAAAAAAAACAAACATGTGGCGGCGGGCTTACCGGCGGAGGAATGGAGTCTGAAACAATAAGGTACAGATGAGGCAGGAACCAAGCATGGCGATGTCAGATTCAATTGAAGCTCCGAACCAACCAAGCATAGCGCACATTAGCACCACTGGAGAATATCTCGAATGCCTGAACCTTCGCCTTCTTGGTCATGCTCATTCGCCCCAACCGCCTCGATCCACCTGCGAGAAGCTTCTCCCTGATTATCTGGTGAATCCTTTCATCTTCGCCGACCGCGGTTAGCTCCCCGCAGCCCACCGGACTTCGCCTCTCCGCCGTCGCCTCGGCGGCGGTGGAGTTAGGGCCTGAAATCCCGCTCTCCCAATCTGAAAGCACTTCCTCGCTCGACGGTCTTTCCATAACCATTTGTTTCCAAATCCCCAAGGGAAGCATACATATAAACTACAGGGATTTGGACATCGGGGAGAATCTTGTGGATGTTAGTGGCGGCGGCGGCAGCAAGGTATTCGGCAGCCAGAGATTATTAAAGGAGGCTGGCAAGGACCAGGTGAGTTCACGGATTTGTCTCGACCTCCACAACGTATTTAAGTTATGTTTTTGAACGGACCATATGATTTGTCTCAGCTCCCATGCCCTGTTTAAGGGAGAAAGGGTTATGCTACATTTACACCACAAATTATACCTCATTTGTACACCGTAATTATACACAAATATTTTGATGTTTTACACTGACACAAGTGTTGGTGCTTTAACAAAAATTTACATAAACACAAATGATTGGTGCATTAACAAAAATTAGTTTTATACCAACACAAAGCGTTAATGTAAACCAAACAATCTAAAAGTGGCAAAGTAGCCATTGTTTCCTTTTTTTTCCTCTGCCTTGTTAGTTTTACTTGTAACTTTTTATATACAAAAAATTATTGGATAACAATTGTACCACTCAACATATCTTATTGAGATCTTTCTAACAAGACCAATAATGCTTTTAAAATTTTAAATTTATTCTTATTTATCTTTTAAGTTATTTAATATAGTCTAAAATTCATTTTCTTTAATTTTATCTTTTGAAATAAAATTGTGCTAATTTACTTTCAAATCCAATACTATTGTACTTCCTCGTCTAAAAATTTATTTTCCGGTTTGATTTGGCACGAAGATTAAAAAATGTTAAAAGTGTAAAAAAAGTCTTCCATTTCCATATCTTCTCTCATCGAGCTTTGTGAGGATTACCACATGTATTTAAGGGCGTACATTCAAAATATTGGACCCATATCATAAATAAGCTCTCATAACGTGTTTAACTACGTACATTCGACATGTTGGAGTTGTTTTTAAATAAGAGTTTCACTGATGATTAACTTTAAACATTTTGAAAATATTATCAAATTATTGTGTCATTTGAAAATCTATAGCATTATAAAATTGTCTAAAATGTTAATGTGAATTATTATTAGAGAGATAATATTAACACTCCACAATTCTAAACAGTATTTCATTTTTCACATTTCTAAAAAAATTTGAAATGGTATTGATCCACTTTTCTTGAGTAGAAAATTTTTATTACAAGCATATTCAAATCATTGTATCACAGTATCAAATTCTTTCCTTGATGGTTTTGCAATTTCTAAAACACAAAAATTAGTTAAAATTTTTTCCGTCTACTATAAATTTAAAATTTTATACTATCTTTGTTGCAGTATATTTCTTGTTCAGTTTGATTCTTTCATGCAATGTTTTGTAACTGGTCTGGTCTCCCAATCGACTTCACTGCATTCCATAAAGGTTACATGTTTTATAAAGGAAAAAAGATTAAAGTAAGAGAAAAACATTGAAAATATATCAAAATAGGACTTTCATTTTTTATCCCTGAAATAGGAGTTGAAATGTATTTACATTACCAAACGTGGTCATGTACATTATTATCAAAAAATATAGCAATGTGCACGTGTATAGTGTCACATTACATCCACATTACCACAATGAGAACTCTTATTTCAAAAATAAAAATAAGAAAGTCCTATTTTAATACTTTTTTTTATGTTTTATTCTTAACCATCCTGAAACCGATACCGAACCAATTTTGCCTCTGATGTGATGGGTAATCCCGAAACCGATACCAAACCATCCTGAACCATACCGAAGCAAAATTTCGGGTTTGGGATTGCTACAATGTATAATCTCATATCGAACCAAAATATTTAGTGCGATATCGGTATAGACTAAATACCGTACCATACTGTACCATGCTCACCCAAGGTGCTCCTCTAACACCTTAGCATTTGGATATTCTTAATTGAAAACTGATAATATCATTTTTAAAAGGATGTTGATATTTTTCATATAAATATAAACAAAAACGTTGATTATCAAAATTTCGGTTACTTATATAGCGTCCCAATTTATGTTTAACTATTCAGTTTTGAGTATTGGTATATTCACTTCCATTTTGACCAAATTTAATCTTTTTAGGTTAAGTAGACAATGTTATCGTCAAAGATTGGCTTGAGTCTAAATTCCATTTTTTTATATTTTTAACAGTAAACTTGTCAAATTAATATAAATGAAATGGATTTAATCAAATTGAGTGAAGAAATAGCAACACTGCCCAGGGGGCGTTAAATGAAATGGATTTAATCAAATTGAGTGAAGAAAGAGCACTGGTAATACATGTAACACCACTCTGCGTTATGCTACTTTTGAAGCCTGGGGGCGTTAAACACTGCCCCCCCTGGGGCTTCATCCGGGCTTCATCTCTTCTACTTCAAATGTTTAACGGGCTTCAAACCCTTCCCCCCCTCTCCCCACTCTCTCTTTAAAAAAAATATACACAAACATAATTTTTTTTTACTCTATATTTTTTTGTTTAATGTAATATTTTTTTGTTCAAATTTTTTTTAGTAATGTAATTTTGTTTTGTTTTTTATTTAATTTAACATACTTTTTTATTGAGTGTATTTTTTATTTGATGAATTATTTCAGTTTGCAATATTTTACTACAACTCGAATTTGAATGAAGATATTGTTAGTTGCTTGAATAATTAGTAATTTCTTTGTAGTGTTATTTTTTTATGGATGTGATATTTTTTTAATGAATGAAACTTTTTTATGAATGTATTCTTCTATGAATGTAATATTTTTTTAATGAATGTAATTTTTTTAATGTACTAATCTCCTTTTGATTAATTTAAATAATAAATTAATTAAAATTTAATAATTTAAATTTAGAAGATGTATATTTAAAAATGTAAAAAATGAAGGTTTTAAGCCCCTGTTTGAAGCCCCGTAGCTTCAAACCCATTTCCAGTGAATTTTTGGTGTAAGTTAAATTTGACGTGGCAGAGAGAGAGTTTGAAGCCCCGGGGCTTCACGAGTATTTCCAGTGCTCTTATACATTCTGTTTTTCAAATTTTCAAATTACGATGGGAGTGAGAGGCGAGAATGTGATAGAAGATTAGAAATCGCTCTAAATAGAACTAAAACATAGAGAAAAGTACCAAAATAGGACTTTCATATTTTTTTTCGAAATAGGACTTTGCACTGTGATAATGTGACTTTGCACTGTGGTAATGTAGCAGCGTACATGTGCACATTACTCTACTTTTTTGGTAATGTACATGACCATGTTTGATAATGTAAGTCCTATTTCGAGAAAAAAAACAGGGAAGTCATATTTTGGTATATTTTCAATGTTTTATTCCTATTATGGTCTTTCTCCCATCGGAGATGCCGAAGATGGAAAGATGGCTTTTATTGGCCGGGGTTATAATGCAAACAGTGCGCATGATCTATTCGTACTGGGTATGGGGGAACGGAACCCGGGATAGGGTATTTTGAAAAGTCAACATCAAAATATCCCTCTCTTAATTTCCCAAAAAGTCAATAAGGAAATTTTATTTAGGGACGGAAGGAGTATTAAAGTACCACATCAAACTATCTACAAAACTAGTAGTGACAATAGTATTTTATTTTATGAAATTGCTAACAAAAATAGAGAAAGAAAATGAATGAAATTTGACCTTGTGAATAGTTAACAGACATTATAATTTGGGACGGAGAGAGTAGTTAATTAACATTATCAATTTTTTAGGGTTAATTAAAGGGTAATTTAGCTAAATAGGACTAAAAGATAATGACATTATCAATTTTTACCCGTACAATTAAATAAATTGAAATATTGAACCAAAAATAGAATTGTTTAAGTATCATAATGTATAAGGACAAGGTTCAAATGACATTGGTGAATGGGTGAATGTATGATGAGAACATTGGTTCGGGAACCTTGGTAAATTTTGGAACCAAGCACTGAGTGGAAATGCTTTTTCATTTTGGTGCACTGTCTGGGAATTAAATGGATGGGTCGGGTGGCAGCAGCATCCTTCACTCTCTGGAAATACTTTTTAAAAACTTGCACTGGTTGGGAAATGACCGGATTTAATTCTCAGACAGTGCACCAAATGAAAAAGTTTGGTCATCTGAAAAAGTTTATAAAACGTTCAAATTTTAATGTTTTTATGTGTTGTTTTTTATTTTCTAATTTTAATGTTTTATATTTATATTTTGTACATTGTTCTCTTATACTTTATTTGTTTTTGTACTTCATTTGATGTTTTTGATTTTTTTAATTTTAATGTTTTGGATTATTTAAATGTTTTTAAATTTATATTTTGTACATTATTCTTTTATACTTTATTTGTTTTTCTAATATTAATGTTTTTGTTTTTTTAATGGAGATTTTTTAGAGATAAATTATATTTAAATTCAACAATATTAATTATTTGATTGATACTTCCTCCGTCCCAATTTATAGTACCTATTTCGGTTTACGATATTTAACTGAAATTATTTTCAAATCATTTTTTGTGACACATCACACATCGTATAGAGTTAAAAAATAAAAATTACATATTAAAATACTACATCAAAAGATCTACAAAACTAGTAGTGACAATAGTACTTTATTTTATCAAATTGCTAACGAAAGTAGAGAAAGAAAGTGAATAAAGTTTGATCCTGTGAATAGTAAGAATGCACTATAAATTAGGGCAGATGAAGTACATAATTAAATTCAACAATATTAATTATTTGATTAAACCTTAGGGATAGATGTCTGAATTGAAAATCCTCATTGGAAGTAAAAAAAATGTATATTAAATGCTTTCCTTGAATCTTAACCCTATTTCGTGTTTTCCGCCATGTTCTGCGGATCATTCCGACATCCCTCATGCAAGAACTGGAAGAGCGGTAAGTTGAAAGCGTCGGAAAGCAGCAATGATGGGTTTTGGAACCCGAGACCTAGGAGACTAGGTAGAAAAGTATCGAACATCGGCTTAGTGCCTTTTGGTCGCAAGTGTAGAGTAAGTATATTTGCTTAGTAGTAAAAATGTGAACGTGTTCTGTCGTTGGAAGACGGAGGGAATCCGAACTGCAAACCACAAGCTAAACCTAACGTATAAATTCATAATTCTCGATTTCTCGTTTCTCAATTGTTTTTACGATCCGCCCTTTAAGTCGGATTATTTGGTGGAATTCTTGTCCATCACTAGGAACAC